CCCCATGCACACACAAGAGAACAAAAAGTACATCCAGTTTGTCCCGTGTTGTGTCAGTGTCCGATTTATTTGTTTTCTAGGCGTCATCTAGTTGGCCTATTATAAAACTGAGGTACACATTGCGACCATGGGCTTTCATTAAATAGTTCTTTTCTGACACACCTTGGTCAAAACAGAAAAAATGCAGAAAAATGACAAATGGTATTTTTTGTTTAATTGATGTTTTCTCGGTATTCCTATGACATCATTTTAGACATAGTTTGCGCCCTTTCCATTTTGATACATGCATATGCATAGGAAATTGTACAGAGTAAGTGCAAACACTGCGTAATTCTACAACAATTTACATGTAACATGATCCTCATGTTCTTTTTTTTGTCAAGATCTGATTGATCACTTGAGTTGGAGTCCTACTGTTATTTACAGGCATCTGACTCCGTCGCCCTTATGCAGGAGCGGCATTGGACGAATTTCTACTTCTCCAGCTAGCGTCTGAAGGCGCCCTGCTGCGCCCCCTCCGTTTGCCGTCCTCTTCTGCTTCCTTCTCTGCGTCGATGTTGGGCCCAACCCCTTGAAATCTCTCTATAGCTTCTGGTCCCATCCGACATGTTTCTATTGGTGGGCTGACGAGAGGGTTTCCATCCAGTGCAGACGACGTATACCTGTTGTAATATTAGAAATTTAAAAAGTCAAGAGAAATCGAAAGACATAAACAAAGCTATTTACTCTCTTATCCCTTTATGCCTCTAGAGAGTTCTATAAAAGCGGGAGCAGCTTGTTGGTAAGGAAAGAACCTTACCGCTTCGACATCTCTCTATATAATAATAATAAAAAATAAATAATAATAAATTACACTTTTATTTGTCCTAAAAGGGCACTTTGTTTTACAATGACAAACATAATACATACATTTATAATTATAAATACGTACATACATAAATACATAGATAAATACACACTATTACACAAATACAGAACAGTTTACAAACAATGCCATTGTCGGTCGCCACTGTGCAGCGCCCTGTAATTTGAGCTAGGGTTGTCGTGTCTTGCCCAAGGACACACTCCAGTGACCACCCATCTGATCACCGTGTCACCGACACTTGCTTGACATTGCTTGAGTCAAAACTTACTACTCACTTAGCCACTGGAGCCCGTATACATGTATTTGTGAAAGTTCGTCACTTTGGCTGCCTAAAATTTCCGAACCACTTAACTGTCGAATTTGACAAAATGAATGGTAGTTCCGAATTATTTAAAGGGTGCACAGTTTTATTGAGGAGCCTGAAGTCACTGTAGTTAAATTTGCAGTTTTTCATTAGTTTCGTTTAGACCTTTTTTTGGGAAAATCCGTCTTCTAACACGCCATTGTAAACAAGTGAGGTTTCCGTTCACTAGCTGTGCACACTGTTCCACAATGACTTGGCGATCGATTCTTTTGATTCTGTTCATTGAACAGGTACCCAGCTCGTGTATGATAAACGACAAAGAGAGTAATGTCATACACAACAAGAATGCTGTTAGAACAAGATGGGAAAATTACTTCCAAGAACTCCTCAATCCAGATGTATGTCACGGACAACAAGAAGAATTTGAACAGAGATTAAACAGAGCCACGCATACTCTCAAGAGAAATTGTAATTGCACTCAAAACCAGCCCCAAATGTCAAAGCCCCAGTACTAAGTGACATCCCAGAAGAAGCCATAAAAGCTTGGGGAAATACCAATGTACTGTGACTGAGGCGAATCTTAAACGGAGCCAGACAGAAACCCATATTTGTCCCATTATGGAGAAAGAAAGCTAACAAACGCGACTGTACGACGTATAGAGGCATCTCTTTGTTAAGCCACACAGAGAAAGCATTCACGAAAAAAAAAACCCCGACTGCAGAGGGAAACCTGAGTGAACAAGAGTTCGGATTCCGTATAGGAAGAGGTATTGTATATTTCAGTACATTACGATAGATGATTGAGAAAACCATCGAGCACAATAAGGGATTCAATATCAACTTCATAGATCAGGAGAAGGCCTTTGACAGAGTAAACCGTGTCAAACTGTGGAAGACACTTGAAAAGTATGGCGTCAGAGGACAACTGTTAGACAACGTTAGAGCTCTATATACCAACATCAGAAGCTCAGTAAGAACAAAGGAAGGCAACACAAACTGGTTCAACTTAAGATCTGAAGTACGACAGGGATGTGTTTGATCTCCCTTACTTTCTTTTTATAATACATGTACATTCTATATGGACACAATAACACAAGACATGAACCAGAGCCCAAAAAGCTTGAATGAACATATGTTTACCGATGACTAATATCTTATTCATCCAAACCAACAAAGCCTCCAAAATCACATCACCGAACTGAAGAACAGCGATATCAGGAATTTGATTTAAGAATAAGCACATCAAAACAGAAGTTATGAAAACTAGACAAAAACCATAGTCCTATAAACATGCATGCCATTAGTAAAGAACGAAAACAGGTCAAGGATTTCACTAGTATCTTGGGGGTATTTTTTGTTTTGTTTTTGAAAACGGATCCATAGACAAAAAATAAAGATACGCAAACTCAAAAGGCCAACACCGTTACCTATCAGCTCGCACCCCTTCTGTCTCATCCAAACATCTCAATGGACACAAATAGACAGTGTATCACTCTAATATTTATACCAACATTAAGCTATCTGCGGCAGACCTGGACATTAAGTAAAATCTATGATCTGAAAGCAAAATCGTTGCATGCAAAATGAAATGTCTCCTCAAAACCCTTAATATCACAAGAAGAGAAAGGGCAGAGAAATATGTAGAAGTTAGAGTAACCATTGGCACAGAGTCCTGCAAGCATTTCATTGGAAAACAGAATAAAATGGTTTCACCACCTCAAACGAATGCCACTTAACTAGCGAGAGCCTATAACACTATGTACTCCTGGGGAGGCCACACAAAAGATGGATTGAGGGAGTCAAAGGAACCCTCAGAAATTAAACATTTCAGTTGAAAGAGTTGTATAGCTGGTCTACCATAGAAAACTGCATCTCCCCATGCATGACGCTAAACGACAACCGAGGATGAAAAGGTAAAGTATAGTAAAAGTAAAAGTTAAAGTTCTTTATATCAGTTAAGATAGGCAGCCGCGATCCTAATTAATTAGGCATCACTCCTGTAAAGAAGGACATAAGACGACCCCAATCTTGTTACAATATCCCACTGGTTAATCAAAAGATCTTCGTCCCTGCTTTCTTCCTTCCTTTTTTGCCTCCTTTCCTCTGCACTTGCGTTGAGCGCTCCCCTTCTAACTGGCCCACTTTCGTCGAGTAAGGCATTAAAACAGCAAGCAAGCAAGCAAGCAAGCAAGCAAGCAAACGAACAAACAAATAAATGAACGAACGAACGAACAAACAAACAAACAAACAAACAAACAAACAAACAAACAAACAAACCCAAACCCACAAACTTAATTTTGTGCGCAGAAACTATGACTGGTGATGAAGACGACAACTGAAAAATTTTAATGACTGCCATTACCGAAACATAATATAATAATATATACAAAACTATTTTGGTTCAACACCCCTTGCAACACTATCCGGTTAATTGACAGGCGGGAGCTCTGACTGAATGTTATGTTTAACTCCGATGGGACCGAGCCAATTGGGAAAACTTATATGTAGAGATCTAATTTGTCTTTCTCAAGAACACACCACACCGAGCTGAATATCGGAAT